TGTTTTCGGTAGTCTAAAGCAAGACATAACATAAGTTGGTAGTGCTGCAGCTACCGATTTAATCATCACTTCTTTCCCACCCGTCGATAAAAATTTTGCCGACCATCCGTTAATTCTTGTTTGCAATCTATCTCTGACAAAAGAGAAAATTTTTGTTTTAGATCCACCCAAACTCTCTGGCAGACCAAGATAAGAACCCATCCCACCGATATTAGTGATTCCCACGGTAGATTTGATTTCCTCCTTGATATCCTCATCTACTTTATGTCCAAACTGAATCGAGGATTTTAAAAAATTAATCTGCTGTCCAGAGACCGCTTCATACTTCTTTAAAATCTCCAATATTACCTCACATTCGTCCTTATTTGCCTTACAAAACAATAAGCTATCATCCGCAAATAACAGATGTGAAACCGAAGGGCGTGCATTTGCTATCTTAATACCCGTAATTAGTTTTTCCCTTTCTGCTTTCCGAATATTCGCAATTAGTACCTCTGTACAAAGGGTGAATAAATAAGGAGAAAGCGGGTCTCCTTGTCGTAATCCCCTTTCTGGTACAATTAGTCCTCTAGGTTGCCGATTAAGGAGCACTCTATATTGAACTGTTGTAATGCACCACATTATCCAGGTAATCCATTTCTCACGGAAACCTAATTTTCTTAGAACCTTCTCAACAAAAATCCATTCCACTCTGTCATAAGCTTTACTCATATCAGTTTTAATGGCCATAAATTTTCCTTTACATGTCGGGTTAGTCCTCAACCCATGAAACATCTCTTGTGCAATAAGTATATTATCCGAAATCAAACGTCCTTCGACAAAAGCCGATTGTGTTTCCGAAATCAGTTTTGGTAAACTCGTTTCAAGTCTTTGACAAAGAATCTTCGATATAATTTTATAGCCCATATTGTATAGACTAATAGGCCGTAATTCCGCCATCCGTGTCAGTCTTTCCGTTTTTGGAATCAAACAAATGTTTTTCGTATTTAACCGTTTATCAAAAATTTCATCCTCTAAAAAAGAATTAACCAGAACAAGAAGATCTGATTTAATTGTACTCCAAGCCTTTTGGAAAAATAAGGCTGTCATGCCATCAGGTCCTGGCGATTTTTCCGGATGCATCAAAAACAGAGCTGTTCTCACCTCACTCTCCGTATCAGGTGCCGTTAGAAAATTATTAACCTGATCCGTAATCAGACTTTGAATTTCAGCCAAAGACTCCTCAAGAGCCTCGGGTTTGGTTGTAGTAAATAAATCCTTAAAATAAGAGACCGCTATATTTTGAATATCTTTATCTTCCGTAGACCAAACCCCGTTTGCATCAGGCAACCCCGTAATCTGATTCCTTGCCCGTCTCTGTTTTGTTAGAGCATGAAAGTACTTTGAGTTATTATCTCCTAGTTGCATCCAAGAGCACCTACTTTTTTGATACCAGTACAGTTCCTCATCTCGATAAGCTTCTTTCAACCGTAATGTTAATTCCGTAATCTCCTCCCTTGATCTTCTGTCATTCCTCTGTGCCACATATAATTCCGATTTAAGTTCCTCAATTGTTTGCCGCCCGTAAGGAGTTAGTTCTCTCCTCCATTGCGAAATTGCCCACCTACAGTTATTCAACTTTTCCACGAATTTTCCTGCTCCTGATTCAGATTCTGAATTCCAACCATTTGAAATTGCCTCCATTAAACCATCCTTTCCAATCCATCTCTTATCAAACCTAAAGGTTCGTTTCCCACGCGGTATCTTATCCAATAGCGTAGCTACCACCGGTGAATGGTCGGAAGCAACTATTGGTAAATATTCAATGAAAGAGTTGCAGAATAATTCATGCCAATCTTCATTCGCTTATAAAACTCTATCCAAACGACACCGTATTGGTTTTTTATCCCGCCAACCCCGCCAGGACAACCAATCTCCGATGTATGGAAATTCCAAAAGACTACAATTTTGAATCATAAAATTAAAAGGGATAAACGAAGATGCATGTCTTAGAGTACCACCTCTTTTCTCATGATTTCTGGTTAACTCATTAAAATCACCAATTAAAAACCAGGGTGTATCCCTAGTCAAACCAATCCGCGTTAACCGTTCCCAAATTTGATCTCTATTTTTTGGAATCGGGTCACCATAAACAAAAGTAAGATGAATTGTTCCCTTTTACCACAGCTTTCACATCAATTAACCGATTACTTTCATAAACAATAGAAACATTAAAATCATTGTTATAATAAAGAGCTAGACCGCCACTACAACCGATAGGATCAACCGTTTTTAAATTTTTATAACCAAAATGACCGATAAATTTTTCTATAAAAAAAGAAGATTGTTTTGTTTCTAAAAGAATTAAAAAATCTGGCCGGTGTTGTTTCCAAATGTCCCGAAGATAACCGATTGTTGCCTTATTCCCGAGCTCTTGACAATTCTCAGGTGGACGCAACCCACTTAAACACAAAGTTGATAAATGTTAAGTATTTAGTTTATAAAAACGTTAAGTATTTAGTTTGTCTACATGAGATTCAAGACAACCAATCACGATTAGCCATCTCAATAATTAAAAAATTTAGGCATTACATTAATTAACATTTTTAAATTATAATATATTATGCATTAAGATATTTATGAAAAGAAAAAAAATTATATGTATTTAAATAATATAAATGTAAACTTTTTAAAAAACATATGGAAATAAGAAAAATGTAACATTTAATTGTTAGAATATATAAAAAATAAAATTATTATTAGGCTCATTATGTTAGCTTTCAGTTCGTTTTAAAAAAAATGAAAATAAAAGAAATATTTGATAATATGGAATTTTTTTAAATTATTTTGTCATGAAAATACAGAAAAATTGAAGTAATCAACATGTCAAGTTTTTTTTTTAAGAAGTCGAGGCAATAAGCTCGTGAGACTGTCCACCTAGGATTTTAAACGATCAATCAGGATTAGACACTTCGTCGGTTAACATTTTTAAGTTCAACAAAGTTTCTATATTTTACATTTTTGTAATTTTTCATGTTTCATACTTCGTAGTTTAAATGTTGATTGGTAATTTTTCATGTTTCAAGTTTGGTGTTCGGATATTAGATCATTTTAATTACTAAAATTTTGAAGTCTTTTTTATCTACTTGACACATCATATTTGTAATATGTTTTATACCAAGTTTTATCCTATAAGCTTTTCTTTTATTAAAACAAATTTTTAACCAATATAAATGATACTAAAAATATGAATAAAACAACATTTATGCTAAAAAGACTTAAAAATGAAACATTATTATAATTAATTGATTATTAAGCCCAAAAATATATTAAATCAATCAATAAAAGTAAACCCCCGCGTAGCGGGGGTTATGACATAGTATTTACTTAAAGAATAATTAGTTAAATAAAATGGCCAACTGATATATTACTGATTAGGCATGTCAATTAGGGGGAAAGTTGGCAATTTCATACCTAAACAAATTGTAAGTGTTAAATTTCTACCTAACTATTACATTTTAACCCGTTGTACACAGCATGACGATTTGTTTTCTAAAAGTAGTGACTTTAAAATTTAATGATTATTTATTATAAATTTTTTTTGCAAATTATATCATTTATAAGACATTTATATTTTATACTTTATAATTTTTTTATTATGTAACGGTATATCACGGTACATTTTTAGTTTTATACAATTTTATCTAAATCATACTAATTTGATATGTCTAATATTTGTGGTGTTAAAAATAATAAATTAAGGATTTAACCCGTATTAAAGTGGCATGTTAATAAATTTTTTTACATTTTTATTATTGTTGATTCAAATTCATCCAGCCATAAACCCCATCCCGTGTTATTTTAATTTTTTTTGTTCAAATATTCATAATATTATAAAATTTTTTATTGATTTTAGATATATCAATCATAATATTTTAAAAAATTAACTAATTAAAAATTTAAAATTTTAAAGATAGAATTAAACTGTATACAAACTTTTAAATTTGGATGCTTGTTAAGTTAAGTTTCATGTTCATTTGGAATTTTTGGATTTATTTTTATCTTATTAATAATATGATTATGAATCATTGTCTAAACATTTTAGCCGATGTGTGACGTTGAACACACACATTTTTCATCAATATGATAATATATATCCGTTTTTAAAATTTTGAATCACAATATATGTAGGAAAAAAATTGAAAATTTTCTTAACTTTATGTATTATATGATGATTCAAAATAGTTAAAAAATTAAACAAATATAATTGCTGATGTTGACGCCACGTGCTAATATATAGCCAACTTTTTAAATAATTCAAATTTTATACTCGAACTTACTAAATCATGTGAAATCATACATTCTTTGTCATAATTGCTAATGTTGATGCCACATCCTTGATGACGTTGATGACGTGGTTGCCACATCTTTGATGACGTCATTGCCACGTCATCATCTTTTACATAAAAAAAAATCCAAGTTGTTTTGTTCTTATAAGCTCAGGTTCTTCATCTCTTCCCCTTCTTCTTCTCCATCACTATCATATGACAGAAGGGGAAGAGATAAAATAAAATTTTGATTTGTTGTTTTGTTAATATTTTCGTTTAATTGGGAAATTTATTTAATAGTATTGAAAAACCTAAACCTAGTTTTTTTAATTATACCTTACTATAAATCTAAAAAACAAATCTTGGCTCTACTACCTAGTTTGTAGTCTTCTGATTTTATATTTTATTTGATATGATTTAAAACAATTTATTTAAATTATTTATTTGATTTTAAGCTTTTCTTTTAAACTATATTAGCTTTAGTGGTTATTTAAATTTCAATTGAATCGTTTTGTTCATATATTTTCATTTTTTGAGAGATATTATAAGTTATGAGTTTGTTTTTTTCTTCAGAAAAACCCAAAAATGCTCTGAAATATATACGGGTTTTGTGGGGTCGGACTATGCTAGCCCGATTGAGATGTCTATCAATTATAATTTTGTTTGACAATGGAATATGCTTAAGGCCAACTCCACTAGAACGCTATGTAAGAGTTCGGGAAACATAACTGTGAGCGAGAGTTGTTTCATCAAAAGTCAAAACTTGAGAAGTTCACCAAAGTCGACGGTTTCTTCAAACTTGAGAATCGCGAAATTATGACCGAAAGTGAGCAAATCGTCTACATCAGCTGCTTAGAGGAGGTACGGTACTCCTTCGTCAGTCACATCTTCGAAGCTCTCTGCCTAAAGCGCATAAATGATGTATTCGTCGATAGCGACGATCTGCTTTCCAAGGAGGCGCAGGCAAAGGTCGAGAGAGCTAGGGTTTCCGTGATGATTTTACCCGGAAACCATACGGTACGCCTTGACAAGCTCGTGAAGGTTCTCGAGTGCCAGAGGACCAACGACCAGGTGGTGGTCCCGGTGTTGTACGGCAACAGAACAGTAGAGGCCGAATGGCTTAGCGCGCTGGATTCGAAAGGCTTCTCATCAGTTCACCAGTCCAGGTATTCACATTGGGTTAGCTTTCTAAATGAAGTTTTTTTACTTGTGAGAAAGGAAAAAAAAAAAACAGTTCTAAATGAATAGCAGCGCAAGTATTGTTCTTCCACTACCTTGTGTTGATAAATGAATTCTTCCATCGAAATTTATGTGTAGTCATGTTAATCGCTAACATAGTTTGTTCAGTTTCAAGAGATTCCAATTGCAGTGTGTGGATTGACCAATTTCGAGATAAAAGTTTAAACAGTGTAAAACAAGGGTCAATATAAATATAATTCGGTTGTTTGAAGATATAAGTCCTTCCATTTCCCCATGTTGAAAGTTGGCAAAAACGTTTTGTTAGGCTAGTTAGTGTAAATGTGTATATTTCTTTTACTTGAGCAAATATGGCGCAGGAAGGAATGCAGTGACGCCAAACTTGTAGAAGAGATTGTCAAAGATGTGTACGAGAAGCTCTTTTATACTGGGCGAATTGGAATCTATTCGAAGCTGCTAGAGATTGAAAACATGGTTAACAAGCAACCGATAGGCATCCGTTGTGTTGGAATTTGGGGTATGCCTGGCATAGGAAAGACAACACTTGCTAAAGCAGTCTTTGACCAAATGTCTAGCGTCTTTGATGCTTCTTGTTTTATCGAAGACTATGACAAATCAATTCATGAGAAGGGTCTTTATTGTTTGCTGGAGGAACAATTTTTGAAAGAAAAGCCTGGTGCCGATGGTACCACAACTAAACTGAGCTTGCTTAGAAAGAAATTACACAATAAGAGGGTTCTTGTTGTTCTTGATGACGTGCGCAATCCTTTGGCTGCAGAGCCTTTCCTTGGAGGTTTTGACTGGTTTGGTCCCAAAAGCCTAATCATCATAACCTCCAGAGATAAACAGGTGTTTCGCCTTTGTCGAGTCACTCAAATATATGATGTTCAGGGTTTAAATGAGAAAGAGGCTCTTCGGCTCTTCTCCTTGTGTGCGTCTATAGACGATATGGCAGAGCAGAATCTCCATGAGGTGTCAATGAAAGTTATTAAGCATGCAAATGGACATCCATTAGCTCTCAGTCTCTATGGCAGAGAGCTGAAGGGTAAAAAAAGACCGCCAGAAATGGAGACAGCATTCCTCGAACTCAAGGAACGACCTCCAGCTGTTTTTGTTGATGCTATCAAGAGCTGCTATGACACACTCAATGACAGGGAAAAAAACATCTTTTTGGACATAGCTTGTTTCTTTCAGGGAGAAAATGTCGACTACGTGATGCAACTGCTTGAGGGTTGTGGTTTCTTTCCACATGTTGGAATCGATGTTCTTGTCGAGAAGTGTTTGGTGACTATTTCAGAAAACAGAGTGCGGATGCATAACTTGATCCAAGATGTTGGCCGACAAATAATAAATAGAGAAACAGGAGAGACTAAGAGACGCAGCAGACTGTGGGAACCTTGCTGCATCAAATATTTGTTAGAAGATAACGCAGAGAAAGAAAATGGAGAACACCAAACAACTTTGGAACGTGCTCAGTTCTGTTATCTTTTGATAGTCTTATAT